CCTCTTGCCTGCTCACATTCTGTGTGTGTGTGTGTGTGTGTGTGTGTGTGTGTGTCTTAAAAATAAACAAGTGGGGTTGGGGGAGAGGCGAAAGGAGGTGATGGGCATGAAGGACGGCACTTGGTATAAGCACTGGGTGTTACATGGAAACCAACTTGAAAGAAAAAACATTAAACTATAAAAGAAAAAAACATTAAAAATTTTTTAAAAAAATGAATGACCTTGATTTACTTGCTTTTTTTTTTCATAAAATTTAAACTTTTAAAAATTTGTTGGTTTAAAGTGATTTCTACATACACTGTGGGGCTCAGAGTCATGACTCAATGAAGAGTTGCATGTTCTACCATCTGAGCCAGCCAGGTGCCCCCTGGATTTACTTGTATTATTAGGGAAAATCTAAAAACCTAATACTGAGGGGGGAAAAATCACTTGGCAAACTTATATATAGCAAATTTATCTATAAAAAATAGGGAACGCTTCATGATTTGCTTGTCATCCTTGCGCAGGAGCTATGCTAATTGCTCTTGTTTCAGTTTTAGTGTATGTGCTGCCAGAGGGAGCACACAAGCACACAAATGATAGGGCTTTGTGTACAGCTGACCTGGTAAATACAGTGGGGTGGGTTGGATTTTCTCAAGTGCTTCCCAGGTCAGAGTTTGTGTTTATGTGCTGGATGGTGAGAATTCATACCTTTGCTGGGACTCTTGTAATCTTGAGCCTTTTGACTCTTAAAATGATAAGAGGAGAACATGGGGTTAGGAGCAAAGGAGAAACTGCAGAGTTTTAGGTAAGTTACTGATAAGTGGGAAAGAACAACTCTAAATGTGAGAACGGTAACTCTATGAAAATAATTCTGATATTTGCCTAAAATGAAACTTGAGAGAATCAGATAATGGAAACTGGACAGCCCTTTAGGAAAAATAATTATTTTGGAGTAACTACCAGTAAGCAAATGGGTATTGGATATACATTTTAAAGAATGTGTTGAGAAAACATGGCTAATGGATTATTTCTAATGTACAAAAGATGGTATTCTATTTAAAGAATTTCTTGGGAGCCCTCTGAGGTAGATACTTGTTTTTGTGTTAAGACTAATCACCTGCTAGTTGACCTAAACTCTGTATGTACACTTACAGGTATACTTTTGGAGAAAATTCTCGGTGATATGTATACCCACAGAAGAGCCCAATGGGGATGAATACTTAGTTATTTAAAACTGTGCTGCTAATTCTTACTGTCAGGTGCTTGAATAAAATTTAGAATTTGCATATGTGTGCTTGGATGTGTGTAGTCTTACTTCCTTGGTTACCCAGGGTAAATAATTATATAATGTTGAGTAGTTTTTCTGCTACCTAAAGCAATATATAGCAATTGTGTAATCTGTGTATTACACATCTTAGTAGTTTATATTTTAAAGGCTTTTTATGGGAAATATAAAATTTATGTATACAGAACCAGAGATAGAATGTGTGTCTTTCAGCTTTACAAATTAATAACACATGAGTTACTATGAAAGAAATCCTAGGCTTAACATTTCATGTGCAAATTCTGAGACTTAAGGTGGTAGTTGAAAATTTTTTCTCTTAAATTGACATTCTATCTTACCGTCTCTGTGGTTATTGTCCCTGATGGTTGTGCTTTGCTTTGTGGTCTCATAAAAATAATTTGAAACTGCTTTTTTCTTCCTTCTTGGTTTATAAACAGGATGTACCTGAGGTGGGTTAACCTACATGTTCTTTATAGTTCCCTAAGGGAAAGGTGGTATCTGGAGTTTGTTCTCATGCTTTGAGGGGAATGCAGGAGACAAAGGACTTATGAATCTGATCTTGGGTTTTGCTGTGGTACTTAAAAATAAGTGGATTATTTGACCAGGAAGGGAAACTGCTAATTTTAGAAGTTAAGTAATTTAATTATTTCACTTGATATGTTAAGCCCAATTGTTAATCTTTTTTTTTTTTTTTTTTTTAAATACCTAATTGACTATAAATTCCTTTCCCTTCTAAGGGGGTGATTTTGTGTGTGGCACCTATGGTACAATCTCACATAATTAACATTTCTTCCCTTCCTGCCTCTAACAGCATTGAAGAAGGGATAGAAGAAGAGAGGATATATACATTAAATTTTTTTATGTTTCTTTATTTTTGAGAGAGAGACAGAGCTTGAGTACGGGAGGGGCAGAGAGAGATGGAGACATAGAATTTGAAGCAGGCTCCAGGCTCTGATCTGTCAGCACTCGAACCCACATACTGCGAGATCATGACCTGAGCCAAAGTCAGACACTCAACCGATTTAGCCATCCAGGCACCCTGAGGATATATGCATTATAGTAAACATTGTATATTATATATTATCAGTATTATGTGACCTACATATTTATATATGTGGGCATTTGAACTGAGGTCAGGGATTTTTTTTTTTGTATTGAGGTATGAAAATTTAATGAATCAGAGTGGTTAATAATAATTACACATACAGTGAGTTAAGCAATATCCAAACAGTTTACACATAGATAGTATACCAAAGAGTTTAATGGATGACACAAAGATTCATATATGTAAGATGCTGAGACATTTACAATTATATTTGGTGTCAGTAAAACTATCATAGTAACGAAGTATTTTGTATATATAACAAGTGAATGTAAAGAATGCTAAATAACTCTAATAGCAAGTTTGAGTAGGTGAGGAGACAAATCGACAGCATGTTTGATGAATAAAGGCAGAATGCACATTTTTTCTTTCTTTACTTTTTTTTTTTAACAAATATTTTATTGTCAAGTTAGTTTCCATATAACACCCAGTGCTCATCCCCACAAGTGCCCTCCTCCATGCCCCTCCCCCCCCCCCCCCCCCCTCCCATCAGTCCTCAGTTCATTCTCAGCATTCAAGAGTCTCTTTCTCAGCATTCAAGAGTCTCTCATGGTTTGCCTCTCTCCCTTTCCCCCACTATTTCCCCCCTTCTTCTCCCCCATGGTCCTCAGTTAAGTTCCTCGTAATCCTCATATACATGCAAACATACGGTAGTTGTCCTTCTCTGCCTGACTTGTTTCACTCAGCATAACACCCTCAAGTTCCATCCATGTGGCTACACATGGCCAGATTTCATTCTTTCTCATTGCCATGTAGTATTCCATCGTATAGATAAACCACATCTTCTTGATCTATTCATCTGTTGATGGACACTTAGGCTCTTTCCATGTTTTGGCTATTGTTGAGAGTCCTGCTGTGAACATTGGGGTACATGTCAGAATGTACATTTTCAAATGGCAGCCAAAATCACTTGGAAAGGCTTTAGGTCTAACAAAAATTCCATAAACTTTATGAAAGCGGGAATCTTAAATATATTTTTGAGCATTATGCAATGACACCAGAAACCATCAATTTAAGTGTAATCAAAAAGTAATATCTAGCTAAATGCATATTTCATTTAAGATCTTTTATTTTACTTTAACATTTTTAATATCTATTTAAAAATTTTTTTAAAATGTTTTTATTTCTGAGAGAGAGAGAGAGAGAGAGAGACAGCGTGAGCAGGGGAGGGTCAGAGAGAGAGGGAGACACAGAATCCGAAGCAGGTTCCAGACTCTGAGCTGTCAGCACAGATCCTGACATGGGGCCTGAACTCACAAACCATGAGATCATGACCTGAGCTGAAGTTTGGTGCTCAACTGACTGAGCCACACAGGCGCCCCAAGATCTTTTATATAACTACTAGCTAGAAAATTCAGACTTTTTTTTCTTTTTATTTTGAGTTAATTAACATACAGTAGTAAGGTCAGGGATTTTAATGTTTTTTGTACCATAAAGTCCTTTGGTAGCCTGAAACTTACTGATCTCTTAAGATGTTTTTCAGGGCATAAAATACATAGGATAATAGGAAATTAATTATTTTGAAATACATTTAGTAAAATGTTAAAACTCATAGTTACAATATGTACTTAACATAGTAAGTTCTAGCAACACACCTGAGTTTCACAATAATGGGTGTAGATGATAAAGGTCTGCAACAAGTTATAGTGATCTGAAAATATCTGATGCAGGTTAATGTCACAATTACAAGTAGTGTGATTATCCTGTACTTACATGCTGACATTCACAATTAAAGGAGTGCTAAATTTCATGGGATAGTGAAAAAATAAAAATGGTTTTTACTCCCCGCTTCACCTGTCCTGATTCCCTGAATCTATCTATAGATCCCTTGGCTGTGATCTCAGATTAAGAACATTTGTAGTATGGCTCTGTGTCCTGGTATGCTTAATTTGAGGCTAGAAGGTTTGAATTTAGAATATGTTTTTCACATATTATAGATACAATTTTAAAGCTTTAAAAAAAAAATATTTTTACAGAGAGAGTGCGAGCAGGAGAGGGGCAGAGAGAGAGTCACAGGATCTGAAATGGGCTCTGAGCTGACAGCAGGGAGCCCTATATGGGGCCTGAACGCAAAAACTGTGAGATCATGACCTGAGTCAGTCACTTAACCGACTGAGCCACCCAGGTGCCCCATAAATTAAAAAAAAAAAAAAATTTTTTTTTTAATGTTTGTTTATTCTTGAGAGAGACAGAGATGGAGCGCAAGCAGGGCAGAGGCAGAAAGAGAGGGAGACAAAGAATCTGAAGCAGGCTCTAGGCTCCGAGCTGTCAGCACAGAGCACAGGACAGAGTGCCATGCGGGGCTCAAGCTCCCCGCTGGGGCTCAGACTCCTCAATGGTGAGATCATGACATGAGCTGAAGTTGGAAACTGACTGAGCCAACCAGGCACCCCAGTGTGGCTTTTGAAATAAGCTTTAATAGTCCAATGATGCTGGATCTCCAAATGGTTTCAGTATACATCCTGTGATTAACTTTGACTCTTTTTCCTTCTTTGGCTGTGTTTTCTTATTACGTATTGGTTTGTAGTTAATGTAAATATTTGAAGTAATTTCAGAGCGTCCATGGTGGCTATTAATATCTTTGCTGTCATATTCTTTTTTCTTTTATAAAACGTTTTAATTCTTCTGCAGGATCCGGAAACTTCAGATAAGGAATATTCCACCTCACTTACAGTGGGAGGTAAGAATTTCTATATTTAAAGTTAAAATTTCTGTATTTAAGCTTATTGTTTTTAATTTTTCGAAGGATTTTTCTCCTTCTCCCAACATTGGGTTGTGCTAAAACACAAAAAATTCTGCTCTCTTGTCTATGTCTTACTTTGGGCTTTTCTCTGCAGGAGCAGAGTATCTCTTAAAAATCTGCTCTTTATAAAAAAAAAATTTGCTCTTTGATGTACTTTAATGGGGTAGTTTTCCTCACCCTGTCTTATCCTAACAGAATCTTGTTTGGAATCTTTCTGATGAGTTCATCAGTTATATTTAAATATGAAGTTCCCTCCTTGGCACAGGTTTTAAAGACACCTACTTGCTATTGATGCTCTATTTTAAAATGTGAACTCAGTTTTCTTTTGCTCAGATGGTGGCACTGTAGTATCTGTGTATAAACAAACTATTTAGCACAGTTGAATAGCCAGTGTCAGTAATTTCCAAAGCATAATGACGACCACATGGTGAGAATTTGAGATACCACTGGCTGAAGAAATATAAAAAAACGTCTTTTGACTTCCTGCTGATGGGACCTGAAAGTTTTTAAAACTACTTGGGAGAGATGGTGCAGGAAAAACTCCTTCGCTTTTATGTATCTCTTATATAAAAACCAGGAGTAACTAGCTCTGTGTGTTTCATACTTGTTTTCTAAAATGAAATTTGAAGAGTCAGTCACTAAACCAGAACCTTCACCAAAATGCAAAGGATGGTTGAAAAGTTTCTTTGGTGGTGAATTAAGGTGCCTTGGTCTGAGGTATGATTCACCCAACGTCTCACCCAGTTGGTAACAAATCATTTATTCTCATAATATTTTATACAGCATTTATTTTCAGAACAATGTTATTGAGTTTAAACTTTGCTGAAGGAGTTGTTTCTTTGGCATATACTGAACATTTTCCAATTTATGCAATGTATAGAAAGTATATCTTTGTAGATGGAAACAGTGACTTTTTAAGATTAAACCTAATGCACTTTCCTGTTTTAAATTAACGTTCATTTAGGAACTTGAGTAGCTTGGAGGATGGGTACCAAATCAAGTGTTGTGGTAATCAAGATTACTGAATGGAGCCCCTTATTTTAACATGGGCCATGTTAAATACAATTTTCTGTTGGAGAACTAAATCTAGTGTAGCTTTCGATGAAATCATCAAATGGTAGTAGCCAATTTTAAATAAGTGAATCTTTGGAGTACTAGCATATCAGCTACAGGCAAGTGGCAGTTCATTCAGAAGATCTCTTCAAATTTAGATTACAGTGACTTCTGAAGCATTGACTTCAGTGTATTTTTGGTGGCTTCTCAAGCTTTTAGTTGACTGTATTTCTCATTCTGGATAAAATTTAAATTATGAGAATAAATCTTTATTTGCCATGTCTAACTTTTTCTTTTATATTTCATTTTATCCTCCCTCTAATCCTTTGAGGTAAGGTGAAATTGGAGACGTTATCTCCGTTTTCAGATGTGCAAATATGGACACATAGGATTCAAAGAATTAAGTAGGAATGAATACTAAATTGTAAGAAGCCTAGAACTAGACTTTGAAACTTGACCTTTGATCTCTTAGATTTTTTGTAAATGTTTGAAAATACTGATGAAACCAATTTATTGAGGAATAGAGTGAGCTATTGTAATGTTTCCTTTCCTTGAGACTTGACTGAACACCATCTGTTACTTCTTTTTTGAGATGAGTCACTTTTTAAAATGTTTTATTTGTACACACTGAGTATGGTGGCTGTCTTGTGCCAAAGCCTTATTGTAGGCAGTGATAATTTTGGATTTAAAAGTCCAGGTTGCCTTTATAATGGAGGGGTTAAACTTTGAATCCACTCGTTAATCTCAGTTTCACTGATCATGGAATGGCTCGATGTTGTGTACTTCCTGATATGATGCAATAGCAAATACGCAGAAACATGGGTGAAATAGTCTTACCTAAAAAATAGAGACTTGACTGTATTCAATTTCAGTCTTACTTTGAATTACTAAAACTAGAGAGGATAGAGGCACAACTTTAAAGGATGCCATGAAGAAACAACTGGTCAAGCCCAGAATGGGAGACATTCCACAGGACAAATGATACTGTTCTACTAGTCAAACAGTGGCATGTGAAAACAGAAGGCAACCGTTAAGGAATAAAACTTACAAGGATATCAAAAAAGCAAGCGTATACTTAGAATAAGTGATTAGTGAATCATGTAAATAGTCTTTTCAAGCAGCGTGAAGTATCTAGAAAAGCTTTAGTTGTTTTGTAGGTGGTCTTTGGAGTCAGACTTGGAATTGTATCTTGGCTTCACTACTTAACAGTTGTGTGATCTCTGAGCAGGTTTTAAAATTTTTCTGAGTCCCATTTTCCTCATTTCTAACATCAGGATGATGATAGTAGCCACCTCATTGGGTTGCTGTAATCATTAATAGGATGATGTAAGCTAAAGCCCTTAAAAAGTGCTTGGTGTGTATAAATGCATGCTACGTTTTAGCTTGGAAATGAACAAAAATTCACCTCCTCTTAACCTTGAGTTCTGTGCTTGTCTGGGTCAGGTCCAGCCTGGAGCTCAGAAAACACTAGGTATTTCACCAGGGGAAATTGAATGTAAAGAATTATACAGGTGCTGGAAGACTGCAAGGGAAAAGGGGGATCTAGAGGTAGGACTCTGAAGGCTGAGGGTCAAAGCAAGAGGTTGAGATGATCATATCTGTGTAACATGGAAAGAAAGCCCTGAGTACTTGAGAGTCTGAGCAAGGGTTAGAGCTGGTGCCTGGTGTAGGGGAGAAAGAAGGAAGGTGATGAAGCCGGTTTTAGGAGTACCTGTGGCATTTAGAGACTGAAACCCACTGCTTATACGAACAGCTAACCAATGGGGAAGAGCCTGTCCTATCTCCTCCATTGTCTTCCAGTCTGTGAAACTAACGGGACTGTGGGCAAAGGAGTGCTTTTATTTTTATTTTTAATTTCTTTTAATGTTTATTTTTGAGAGAGAGAGGTGACTGGAAGAGGAGCAGAGAGAGGGGAAACAGAATTTGAACCAGGCTCCAGGATCTGAGCTGTCAGCACAAAGCCTGATAGTAGGGTGCAAATCCCCAAACTGTAAGATCATGACCTGAGCCCAAGTTGGACACTTAACCAACTGAGCCACTCAGGCGCCCTAAAGGTGTGCTTTTAAAGAGTGCAGAGTCCTAAGTTCAGCATTGAAAAGTTGAAAGGTGGACCTGGAACCAAGAACTTAATATCCAGCCAGAGTTCTAACCCAGAAGTGAAATTTCTCCCCTGTTCTGCCAGTCTCCTGTTGTGAGCCATTTTCTGTGAGGTCACTGCAGAGGTGACAGAGTCTGGGACCATGGTAGAAACAGTGGATGTGGTGCTCTGTGGCATTTTATCATATCCGTTGCTGGATTGTTAATTAATTTATTCCACTATGGCCTTTTTAAATATTCGTGTTCGTATATTGTTTATTTTTTCTTTATATTGTCATACACTGAAATATCAGAAGGGGCTTCCTTTTAAGTTCTCTGTGTAGTGCATCTTGCATCCTGTGTATGTCAAACAGGGGTTGAATGGTTTCTAATGTAGTTACGGATAATGATAAAGCACTTATGGACCCTGGATTGGCCAGCTGTTAGACAACTTAAGTGTTTTTGGCAGATAAAAATATGAGGAAACTACCTTTCTGAAGTACCTGCTGCTGGAGAATTAGGTGATTTTGTTTTTCCCCAAGTATGTGGAATATAGAAGTAGATGGAGAATAGAAGAAATTTTTGCTTCTTTGCCTCCTATCCCCTTGCTTGAGGTACTTGGAAGATTTTTGGTATGGCCAAAATGCTAGAAGGGCCACATCTACCAAGAATCCTGATGTTTTGCAGACATGGGTCCTCAGATGATCCAAGGGAGGTAGACATGAATGCTAAGGATTTGAGGGGATGCTTTCTTGGACAAACAACGTGGAGGCGTGGGATTGTTCGAGTCCCAGAAGAACACTGGACTTTAAACACCTTTGGGAACACTTGGTTTCTTCTTACTCAGTGTCTCAGATGGGCCCCATTTCCTAAATTTAAAAAATGTCTTTCTTCATTTAAAAAATAAATTGCCAAAGCCTCAGGAAAGGACGTTTGCAAGAGAATTTTTTCCCATCTCAATGTCTTACTACTACTATGTAATCTAAATAATCAAAATTCCTGATAAGTACTCACAAAACTCCAAAAAGGAGTACCTTCTCTGAAAGAAATGTAAGACTCAATAATTATGTAAATGAATTGTTTTAAAGAGTGAGTTAGGTTCTCATTTTGGGGTCAGGCAATAATCATAGAATGATGTTCCCAGAGTTTACCAGTTTACTGTCTGGGAAAACAGTCTGAGCTACAGTTAGTTGTCTTCATCTGAAGTGTTGTACCTGACAAGGCCCTGATTTTGCCCATGACTGAAGACAGTATATTTTCTAAGGCAAAGATTTGAATATGTATGTGGTCTGACAAATATTTACGAGGATTGCATACTGTGAAATCGAATCTTGGTACAAAATCCAGAATGTATGTTGACTTTACCTGGAAGATTGGATATCTAGTTTTTCCTGGACTTAACTGAGCTGTGAAGACAAATCTCTTGGGAAGAAACTAAAGAGATTTTCACAGTATAACATCTATTTCTGCCATGTGTGTAGTCTGGTGTGATTGAGTAAAGGAAGCAGAAGCTGTTGCGGAGGCTAAACATAGGGGATTAAAGGAAGTTTCTTTATAACTAAAGCATCCTCCATTTGCATCCAGTCTTCTGACATTTATGAGTTGGTCTCTGGATCTTAACGTGGAAAGCAAGTAACCATTATACTAAAAATGAAAAATCAAAGCTGTAAGTTGGACACCTGCAACTTAAAACATTGTTTGGTTTTCTTCTCAGAGCAGAGTTACCTTAATGATTGCTTTCAAAGGTCTTTTTGGTGCTTCCATATGAGCTTGAAGCAATTTTGGGAAGTAAGTATATCGTGTAGGAA